TTACGCTGCTTTGTTACTGCCAGACTCTTGTGGATTAGAGTTTACCTGCTCCACTGCTCTGATTTAAAATATTTTAGTGTTAGGAGCCACTGCTTCTCTATTTTAGTGTTACTTTCTGCACACTGTGAGTCTCCTAACTTTTTAAAACTACATCACAAAAGAACCCCAAGCTAAGCAATGCCTTTTAAATGACCAACATAATAGGATCTCTTTTCTTTGTTCCAGAGCTCTTTTCTTTCCTATGACTCCTGTTTTTAGCATATTGCTTTCACAGTGTTGGTTTTCTGTAATGCATTTAATCATGACTAAGTTGTTCACATAATTGTCTTTACTTTTTTCATGTTTTGTAGCCAGAGACCTAAAACTCTCTTTATCAGCTCCAGGGGTATAATATTTGTGAGGCTTTTAAGCAGTAAAAAGCAATGGATACGTTAGCCTTCTAAAGGAGTTGAGGAGCCTTATGTCTAAGATTGTTCTTTGGGTTGCCTTTTTGGTTTTTCTCCCAGTATTCTCCTTTCTTTTTCCACACTCTGATTGTGTGAGGTTTTTTTTGTTTGGGGAGGGGGTTGGGGTTTTGTTGGATATTTTAGGGTTTTTTGTTCCTTTTAAGTAATAAGAATGCCAGGAAAGTTTATCACTGAACCTGATTAATCAACACACTAATGAAGTTACTTAAATTTCAGTCTTAAATGAAGTATTTAATTTTTTTAAGTTTATATTTACAACTATAAATAAAATAATGCTGTAATTTTGAATAATACTTTCACTCTTCTTTGTGAATGTACTTTTTCTTCAGGCCTCATTAATTCCTCTGCAGTAAAGTTCTGCTTCCTGTGTTCCTACTAGGAAGAAAGGTCATGTTCATGGCAGGGTGTGCGCATTTATGGGTTTTTGACACACCTGCTGCATTTCACTCGATTCAGTGTTGGGTACCAAGCATCAGCCACTTTAATAGAGGCAGGATAGGTTTTTTGGGTTTTATTAGGTATTTAAAAAAAAAATAAAGTACGTACTTGGTTATAAAAAGGTATAATCCATGAAGTATCTCATCGTGAGGAGCAAAGCCTGAAATTAAAAAACATAAATTGCTATGTATAAACTTTTAAAAATATGCAAGGGCTGCTGCTTAAATGTCACTTCAAGTTATTGGAGTTAGTTGTGTCATTTTTGGTTTTTTTCCCTCTCATCACTAAAGTGAGCAGTGCTTGTGGCTTTTAGCATCTAGTTCTGATCAGCATTGTTGAGAAAAATCTTGTGCCTTTCTAAAGTAAAACTTTATTGTACCACGTTTTCTGGTGCTTCCAATCAAAATGGGGAGCAGTCAAGAAAAATATAGTGAGTCTGCGAAGGAAAATTGCACGCAAAAAGGAGACATGCCGTGTAAATCTACCAGTTTGCTTTCAAAGCTCTTTTTTTTTTTTTTTGCTTTGCTTTGTTAGAAGGTGTAAGCAGTTTTGAATGAATTCATCGTCTTTGTCGTTGTTCTGAGGAAGGTTTCTGAAGTGTGTGGCCTTACTGCTGGAGGATGAAAAAGTTTCTTTGGCACTACTGTGGGAGTTTATTCTTCTAGATTTCAGCTTTCATTAGTAATTTAAATGAGGTGAGATGACTTCATCAGGTTGTCCCAGGAAGGGAAGCCTGTGGTGGAGTAGGGAATTCAGTGCACGTCTGGACTTAGACCTCTGGTCAGTATGTCTTCATTTGTCTAGTTAATTTTCTTTCCTTCTGGTGTTCAGCCACAGTAAATGAAAGTACTTCTCCAGTTGCTTTTATTTCTTTCCTTTTTCATCCTGCAACTTCAGTCTTTCCTGGGATTACTTTCACTGATGTTTCATTGTTTTCCAGAAAACTTCTTTATACCTGAGGTTTATGTCACAGTCACTGATGAGCTGGACATACAACATCTCACCCTCTTGTGGAACGGTCCTTTTTGAGAAAATACTGGTTATGTCTTAAACTGTGAAATAGAACAGGGATGAGGACTGGTTTCTGATTGCGGGGACAAACGGCACCCACTGAACCCATCCATGCTGTGCAGCGCTGGACCTAGCTGGTCGCTGAGCCTGGCGCCGTGCCCCTCTGGTCTGTAAGAACATCGGTGGCTACGTTGCAGCCCACTGGAGCGGTGTTTTCACAACACAGCCCTGGGCATACACCGGACAGCCTCGAGTTGTGGGATGAGGTCTTGACGGGGTTCTTGAGGGCGCGAGGCCTCTGAGAGAAGTGGAGACTGACTTGATGTCACGTTTTCTGAGCTGCCTGTTGGGAACAGTCCCTGGTGACCTCCTCCCCTGTGGTTCTGAACAGGGGAGCACTGTGCACTTGACAGGCAGCGCTGTGCCAGGCAGACTCAAAGGAATGTGAGTGACCAGCGATCTCATGCCCAAGCTTGTCTTCCCAGCCCTGTGTTACTTACCTGAAGAGATGTCGCCACTGTCAGATTTTGCTGTTGTTACTTTGTTGTTTTGGGAGCCACCTGCATATTCTGTTTTCTTCCAGACCAGGAAGGCAAGGAGCATAGTTTTTGAGGATTTTTCTTCTCCCTGATTCAAGATTGAGAAAAGAAAGTTGATCTTTCTTCCGCAAATGCTCTTGAGTTAAAGGAACAATAAACACTGGCTGTCAAGATCTGTTGCGATCAGTTCTCCCATTTCTTCCCAATTCAGAGCCTTTGTTCCATGATTTAGAAAGCATATCATCTGCTTTAAGACCTCAAATCTTTCTTGGCTTTTTGAGTCTCTTCAGTTGCCAGGAGGTCAGGGCTGAGTGGGATTTGAGATGCAGACTTTGAGAGTGCAGGTGTGAAGAAGAGCCTCTTTCATGCTGGGTTAGTTAAATCGGCAGAGAGCACGAGATGTTTCTGTCGGGGGGTTTCCTGTATTGTGCTCATTGAAAACTGAAGTCTTCCAGCCTTGTTGAAGTTACCAGCTCGCTCTACTGAACTGATTCCTGTATGTTGCTCACGTCCAGTTGAGGTTTTCTCAATCTCAAAAGAGAACCTCGAACTAAAATTTGAGCGTTTTTTATGACGATGGTGGTGAGACACTGCAACAGGTTGCCCAGAGGAGTTGTAAAGATGAAGGTCAGGTTGGACAGGGCTTTGAGCAACCTGATCTAGTGGAAGATGTCCCTGCCTGTGGAAGGAGAGTGAAATTGATCATCTTTGAGGGTCCCGTCCAATCCAAACTGTTCTGTGATCATTATATCAGAGCACCTCCATGGTCTTTGAGGGTCCCGTCCAATCCAGACTGTTCTGTGATCATTATATCAGAGCACCTCTGCTATGAAGACAGGCTGAGAGAGTTGGGGCTGTTCAGCCTGGAGAAGAGAAGGCTTCGGGGTGATCTTATTGCAGCCTTCCAGTGCCTAAAGGGGGCCTACAGGAAAGCTGGAGAGGGGCTTTTTACAAGGGTGTGTAGTGACAGGACAAGGGGCAATGGATTTAAACTGAAAGAGGGGAGATTTCGATTAGATCTAAGGAAGAAATTTTTCCCTCAGAGGATGGTGAGACACTGGAACAGGTTGCCCAGAGAAGTTGTAGATGCCCCATCCCTGGAAGTGTTCAAGGCCAGGTTGGATGAGGCTTTGGGCAACCTGGTGTAGTGGAGGGTGTCCCTGCCCATGGCAGGGGGGTTGGAACTAGATGATCTTTGAGGTCCCTTCCAACCCAAACCATTCTATGATTCTGTATAAGTGATTGTAGTCTCCGTAAGAGTTTTTTTCTGAACTGGGAGCCATTATTACCACCACATCTCAGCACAAAAAGGCTGTTGTTCTTGCAAGTAGAAAATGGGAACTCTTGCTTTTCAGGAACTGATCCTCTGGCCTAGATATTGAGTATGTAATTCAGTTCAAGAGCCAGGGAAGATCTTGGGAGCTCTGTTAGATTCATTAAGGAATATGGCTTTATAAGAACCAGGAGAACTAAAAGAAAATTGTCTGAGATAAACTTTCTTTAGTTTGTGTTTAATTTTTCCTTAAAACTCTGCAGTGGCAAGTTATTCCAGAAATGAACAGTGTCAGAGTACATGCTCATCTGTTTCTGTCTGCTGGAGAGCTGCTCAATCATGTATGGTATTTTGAGGAATTTGTATCTCCTTGTGTCTAATTGTTGATGAAGTCTGGCTCATTATCAGTTACTCTGATTCTTTATGCTGCCCTTCTTTGAGAGATCTGTCTTTTCCATGTGCTTACAGGATTAAAGTTGGCCTGCCAAAATCTGTAGCATAACTAGCTTGGCAGGCCTGCACCTTTCCTTGTTAATATATGCGTTTTGAAATTGGCTCGCTTGTGCCAAGTGTATGAAAGAGTTAGGATGAGGCGCATCTGAAGACTTCAGCCTGTGATCCCTTCTGTGCTGTAGTTGCTTTCCAGTTCCTTTGTAGTTGCTTTCCAGTTCCTTTATTGCCTGCAGGACTTTCAGGGTCTTAGTCCGAGCTCCTGCCACTGGACCAAATATAAATTTTACTTATTTACACACTTCTTTATGGGGACAAAACACCTACTTTAGATTTTGTGACTAACAGAAGGAAGCAAAATTTTGGAGATTAGTACTCTGAAATACGATTTGATAAAGCATTTTTTCTAAGTGGTGATATGGTTTAATATCTTCAGGAAAAAGTAACCAGCACTTCAATAGTACAGTTATTTGCCTGCGTGGCAAATATTTGTCTCATCTCAAGGAT